CTTGTTTTAGGAGTACATTTGGAAGGTGATTCTGGCCAATAGATTATGAGAAGCCTGAGGTTTCTGGTTGAGTTCCCGTCACTGCTCAAATTACTCCCTTTCTTCTTGTCTGAATTTTGAGCCTTATGGTCTGAGTTATCCTTGGTTGAAGGACAGAATTCCTGGAGCTGTGGCAGCCGCTTTGTGACCATGATGGACAAACCTGAGACAGAAGCAAATATCGTGTTCCCAAATGGAAAAACAGGGAAACCCTAACCTTAGATGCTTTCTTTATTCCTGGGAACGAACTACCTCCTGACTTTATGTGAGGAAATATACTTTTCTCTTCTAGGGGAACCTGTGGTTACTGACAATGGATGGAAAACCTTCATCAACAAAAAAGCATGCTGTGAGGCCAGGTGTGGAGCATGTCCTTAATCCCGGCAATCTGGAGACAAAAGCAGCTGAATCTCTGTGAGTTCAATGCCAGCCTGGTCTACAGAGTGAGTTCCAGGGTAGACAGGACCCTGTCAGGAAAGGGGGGGGGGAAGGCATGATGTGCTCAATGCAGACAAGGCTAGAAGCAGAGGTCAGTGGTCAGCTTTTATAAAGTCCACAGCAGAATCGTCTCTCCTTCGATCATGAATTCAATACTCCACAGATTCTTGAACTTTGCTCTCTATCACGTGACAGCCATCTAGGGTGATGTTCTTGTGTCTTGGCACAGCCAGAGGAAGAGGTTGGCAATCACTGTCGTTCTTCCTCACAGGGCATCTGCAGAGTGCAGTGTACGTGTAAGGGGTTATTATTCCCCCACTTCCAGTGGTACTTTCACGTCTGTCCATGCTGAGGTCCCTCTTCTATATCAGAGTTTTTCTTCTTTTTAAAACGATTTATTTGTTTTGAAGCAGGTTCTCAATCAGTAATGCTGTCTAGGCTAGAACAAACTGAGTAGCCCAGGCTGGCCTGAAACTCATAGTAATCCTCCTGCCTTAGCCTCTTCAGTGTTGGGATGAAAGCATGTTTTAAGATTTCCCATTGTTGCAGAATAAAGTCACAATCCTTAGCACAATTCTCAATCCAACTCCATCTCTCTCCAAATTTATTTCCTCGTTTCTTCTGCTTCTCTCTCTCTCTCTCTCTCTCTCTCTCTCTCTCCCCTCCTCCACCCCTTGACTCTTTCCCTCTCCCATTTTGTTTAGAGAGAAAGTCTACCTAAGTAGCTCAGGCTGGTCTTGAACTCTCAGTCTTCCTGTATCAGCCTCTAGACGGCTGAGAAAACAGATGTGCACCTCCGCACTTGGCCTGCATTCTCTATCAGTAAAATGTGTGCAGATAAAAACCCAGCCCAGATGTCCTCTTTTTTTTTCTTTAGAGCATGATCAAAATGAGTCTTTATACTCATAGTGTATGTATTACAAATTATTAGATGGCCACTACCATCCCATTCAATTGTAGTGATGTCTTTATTTTCTAAGAAGTACTGGAAGCTCCAGCAATGTGTATTAGTTACCTGTTGCTACAAAACAAATGAGGAAATTTGATGCCTTTAAATATCAAATTCTTATTATCTAATCATTGCAGTGGGGCAGGAATGTAGGCGTGGCTTACACCTGGCCAGTTCTATCTCAGGGTGATTTACAGACTGTGGTCACGAGGGTAGCTACAGGACTCATAGGGTTGAACAATCTGCTTTCAAAATGGCTCCTTCGCATGTATGATGCCAGCACTGGTTTCTGGCAACAGATTTCAGATGTTGCCAGGTGAACTCTTGCCATATGTCTTTGAGTATACACGAAATATGGCAGCTGGTTTCTCCCAGAGAACTGATCCAAGCTGAAGGAGAAACTCAAAAGACCTTTTAGAACCTAGTATTAGAGGGAAAAGAAAAAAAATTTCATACCATTTTCTGTTAGAAGTAACCACAGTAAGTCTTGCTGTGGGATAATGCTCTTGTACTCTGTAAAGGTTTGTCGCTCATATTGATGTAATAAAATACTGATTTGCCAGTAGCCAGGCAGGAAATATAGGCAGGAAACCAGACTAGGAGAATTCTGGGAAGAGGAAATGCAGAGAGGCAGTCACCAGCCAGACGCAGAGGAAGCAAGATGAGAATGCCTCACTGCAAAGGTACCAAGCCACATGGCTAAGCATAGACAAGAATTATGGGCTAGTTAGTAATAAGCCTGAGCAATAGGCCAAACAGTTTATAATTAATATAAGCCTTTGTGTTTACTTAGGACTGAATGGCTGGGGGACTGGACAGGATAGGAACTTCTGTCTATAAAGTGTAGCCTATGTTCAAGGGAAGTTTAACACACATTTGGATTTGAAGACATATAAAACCACCACACCTAGGTTGTCATATGTCTTTGTTCTCGTAACTAAGGTGTCTGCCATGTGGTAGATGCCCATGGACATTCCAGACGAAATGGGTAATAAACAGGATAATAATGAAGTTAGAGAAATACATGGGTGATATGTGGGGCTCATGTGTAGAATGATGGAGATGAGGATTGGTGAGAGAAATTCTGCCATAAGAATTTACAGGACTCTGAGTGAATAAGAAGAGTTGGGAATAGGCTTGCAAAGTTTTTTGCAAAATGTGGGATGCCATCAATTCTCAGTAGTAGTGTGTATTGAAAGTATAGGGAGCTGGGCAGTGGTGATGCACGCCTTTAATTGCAGCATTTTGGAGGCAGAGGCAGGCAGATCTCTGTGAGTGCGAGGACAGTCTGGTTTACAAAGGGAGTTCCAGGACAACCAGAACTGTTGCTTAGCGAAACCTGTCACAAAAAACAAAAATTAAAAAAATATTTGGGTAAATATTTAACTCATCATTTGTATTAAGATGGCTTGGGCAGTTTAGAGACAGCCAAGATGGTTGAAGGCAACTTTCAGCACTTCCTCTATTGGTGTCAATGCAATGCACTCACTATCAAACCTCATCTCAGAATCTGATGTCTGACTGTTCAACTGTATTTCAAAGGGAAGAAGGACTGGCTATCAGCAGCAAGAGTATCGTCTAAACCATCTCTTTTATTTCAGGTGTCTTATTTATAAATGGGGAAGCTCTACTGTCTGTTTTCCCGGGGTTTTTGATCTTTAGTATTGAGGTTAGATTGACACTATTATGCATTTGAAGGAAATTCCTACAAATCATTGTGGGATGTGGGGGGACAGTTAGGTAGCATCATTTCAAATACTGGGATTCCAGTTTTCATTTTTTTTTTTTTTTTTTTTTTTAAGAATTCAGTTTCCCAGAACTCAGATTGATTGGCTGGGTTGCAATTTGGCCATTAGAACATGTCTACATAGAAAGTCAAGCTGCTCCAGAGTTCTTAATCCTTTTGTTCTTCGAAAGGCTAAGGACCAGTTTTAGAAGAGTCTTGGTTGGGGGGCCGGCTCAGTGAGTGAAATGATTGCATAGTTATGCAAGCATGAGAGCCTAAGTTTGAATCCCCAGAACCACTGTAAGAGCAGGAACATTTCTACGGGGGTGGGGGGGGTGGGGGGGTGGGGGGGGGGTGGGGGGGGGGGGGGGGGTGGGGTGGGGGGGGTTAGGGAGGTGGAGACAGAAAAGTGTTCAGAAGCAAGGGGAGTAGCTAGCCTGGGCTACATTGTCGGAAAACCAACAAGAAGAGAGACCTTGGATCAACAAGGAAGGTGAGGCCTGTAGGGTCAGCTGATCTCCATGTGGAGTGAATGTCTGCATGAAAATGTTCTAATGTGTGAGCTCGTGCATGTGCACCCCCCCCCCCATACATCACAAACCAAACACAGACAGACAGACAGACACACCAGTCTTGGCATTAAACAAATGTTAGTTCAATATAGGCATTAATATGCTTTTTCTGTTTCCCTGGGAGTTTGAAGGCCCAGGGCTGTATACTAAATAGTGCGCAATATAGAATATAGAAGGTAAATTTCTCTAGGAACTCCATGCAGTTCCAGTTGCGCCCAGACTCTGCTATTTTTTTTTTTTTTGCCAACTCATATTTACTCAGAAGCGAAATAACTGTGGAACTAATTTTAGAAAAGAAATTAAACAGTTCTTTGTTCATTTTGCATTTCTGTACATTTAGAAGGGATTAGTTGCTCCTTCATTACTGGCAGGATAAAATCCAATATTTGCCAGTATAATTTATTTTAAAAGACCTTTTGTCCTTCCGGAAGTATTTTAAAAACTTAATGATTAAATGGAAACTTTGGATGAGAAAGTTTTTTTGTTTCTTCGGTGTTTATTCTTCCATTTCTGATCAATTAATACTGACTAGTAGATTTTGGATGAGACTTGGAAAACTAATTCAGGGTAACACCTGGTCTTTTAAATGGGGTGGGGTGTCAAACCTTGGCTACCTGCACCCCATTGCAAAGTAGGCCCTATAAGGGCAGGGCCTTTGGGGCGCTGCAGGGAGGTTCTGAGCGGTTGAACTTAGCCTTGTGCAAGCCCTCAAACACTGGAGTAGCCAAGCATTCATTTAAGATCCAGTGCGGGGCTGAGGCCAGCAAGCAGGCCAGCACAAAGCTTCCCGCTCCGGGCCCTTCCTGCAGAGGAAGAAGCCAGAGCGAGGAGTGGGATCCAGGCCCACTTCCTGTCCGGCTGCGCGGGCACCGCCTCCTCTCAGTGCCGGAGGACAGGGCTTCTATTCCCGCGTCTCAGCAAGGGTCACCCCTGTGTACCCCGGCCGAAACCGCAACCTGGGCACGACCGGAGGGTTAAGTGCTCCTGGCTCGCTCAGGGGGCGTGGTCGGCGGCGCCCGCTGCTCGGGCTTGGGGGCGGGACGGACGGAGGACGGGGGCGTGGTTGGAGCGCGCGCCTTTGCGGCCCGGGGGCGGGGCGGTCGGAGGAAGGGGGCGTGGCCAGAGGTCCGCGCCTGTGCGGCCGCGGCGGGGAACGGGCTGTGGCCAGGGGCGGTTCCGGGCGGTAGGCCGGGGGCGGGGCGGTCGGAGGAAGGGGGCGGGGCCCGAAGTTGTTCCGCGCTGGGCAGCGGGGCTGGCGGGCGGACCGGGCCGGGCCGGAGGAGAAGTTTTCGCTGCGGCTGCTGAGCGAGGGTGCGGGCCCCCGCAAGCAGTGCACGCCCGCTGCCATGGCTTTCCGTAGGAGGACGAAAAGTTACCCGCTCTTCAGCCAGGAGTTCGTCATCCACAACCATGCAGACATCGGCTTCTGCTTGGTGCTCTGCGTCCTCATCGGGCTTATGTTTGAGGTGAGTAGAGCGGGGAGGGGTATTGCAGGGGCAGGCGGTCCCATCTCCAGGACACCGCGGTGAAGACAGGGATTCCCTGGCCTCATCTGGCCTGGAGCGTGCCTGGCTGTCCCGCACGTTATCTGCACCTCTGGCTTTGTGCACGGTATCCACCCTGGCCTGGACCTAGGACATGATGGACAAGCACCCCTAGCTTCTGGCTGTTCGGGCCATGCCATGCTCTGTCGCCCCCTTGGGCACCCATGGTACCCTGCAACTGTCTTTCTGCATCTCTGAAACCCACGCCTGGCCTCGAACCAATCGCAGCGCTGCTTTCTTGGCCCCAGGACTGGGATTTCCTTTCTGGCGTCCTGGTGCCAAGCTGGGAGACTCCCAGACCCACAGTAATTGCACAATTCCCCCCTCCTCCCAAGTAGGGGCCGCCAGATCATCTAGGTTCTTCCAGTAGGAGGGACCCTAACCCTTCACCTTTTCTGTGGCTTTCTGGGCGTTCTTCATCCTAACCTCTGGAGCTTGCTCCAGGTGTTCACATGTGGACCTGGCTCCATTCCAGTGGGGGTCTTCTACAACCTACCTCTCTTTAATTATGACCTAAAGCGTTAGTTTTAAGATATCCTTTGGCACTTTGGTCTGTTGGTCTCTCCTTGTGGATGGATGTGTGAATTAGACCCAGAACCTCATCTCCCTTTTCAGGTTCGAGGAGAGGGGCGGGGATACCCTCTGCTTTTAGGTGAAAGGTGATTCTCTTGTAGCCTCAGGCGAATGGGGTGGGAGCAGAGAACGGAACTCTACGCCTACAGCAGCAGTGTGCTGGTGTAGGCCTCAGAACTGTCTGTAAATCAAGGGGTCAGAATCCAAGGGGCTGGTGGTCCCTACTACAGAGTGGGAAAAACGATGATACTGAAAAGTGGGAAGGACTGGAGGACACAGAGTATGGGTTTGCTGTGGTGTGTGTGTGTGTGTGTGTGTGTGTGTGTATGTGTGTGTGTGTATGTGTGTGTATGTGAGTGTGTATGTGTGTATGTGTGTCTGTGTGTGTATGTGTGTATGTGTGTGTGTGTATGTGTGTATGTGTGTGTATGTGTGTGTATGTGTGTGTTTATGTGTGTGTGTGTATGTGTGTGTGTGTGGTGTGGTGTGGTGTGTGTGTGTGTGATGTGATACACTCCCTCACTCTCACTCTAGCCTCCTGGTCCCAAAGCTCCTGTCCTCTCTTCGGGGTAAGGTTGCTGATCTGCATTCTGAAGGCTATTAAGAAGCCCTTACCATTTAAAAGTTGCCGGACCATCCCTACAGCTACCCGGGGCTCCCTTCTGTTACTGACACAGGTCCTATTTGGCTGATGAACCTGCTGCCCTCTAGTAGTGGGGGGCCTCTTCTGGTGGCCAGCTCTTGGCTGGATGCATGCCCTTGACCAGGCTGAAGGGTTTGCAGGAGCGAAGCTGTGACTGGGGTCCACACTCTATCAGTAATGCTATCAATTCACTCTCCCCCCCTTCCCGCCCCTCTCCTTCCCTCCCCTCCCCTCATGTTTCCCTCGAGCTTCTGGAGAAGACTGTTCCATTGAAGACTGATTGCAGCCTCAGTTTCCCCATCATTGAAGAACCCATTAAAAATGGTCTTCCTTACAGCGGTGTAAAGCTTTAGGCCGAGGTTGTATCACCAACAAAAGTCATTCCTCCGTATCAGTGAGAGAATCTGTTTCTTGCTCCTGGACCCTTCTTATTATTTAACATAGTGGCTTATTGAGAAAGCAGAGGACCTGCTCTGCTTAGTGTTTGCTTTCTGTCTATTTTGTTGTCCTCCATTCTAAGAGACTTCGCAGGGCCTTGCTCCAGTTCTTAAAGAGTAGGGTTGGAATGACACATGTGTCAATCATAAACCTTGTAGCCATGTGCTCTGCAGCTGGCCACAGCCTCTTGCTTAGTCCATGGCTCTACTATCTGTAGTGTTTGTTAAGATTTTTGGGTTTTCCTGCCTTCGTGTTGTGCAAAAAGAGACGCCTAGTGTTTGCACTCCTGCCTCCTTTGTTCGCTATCTTTAGCCTTGCAGGAAGTCCTTTGCCTTAGGTCTGTGGAATCTGCCACGTCAGGAATTGTCATTGGTAGTACCTGATGGAAGAGAAAGGACCAAGGTGAGAAAAAAAGAAAGCCATTTTCCTTCAAATGGCCTTAGGACAGACTTGGTGGAGATGTCAGTCTTTCCACTGCCCCATCTTTTTCTGTGGTACTTTAGCCCTTTGGGACTCACAGGACAGATGTTTCTTTCAGAAGACGCTTTGAGGACTTAGCACCAGTCTGAGCTGGTTTAGGAGGAAGGGGGCTCTCTCCTGAACCTCCTCTTCAAAGGTTCCTGATCTGTGCCGTATGTGTAGTAGGTCTTCACCGTCCATTCTCACCCACTGACTGTAAAGAGATTGTGTGTGTGTGTGTGTCTGTGTGTGTGTGTGTGTGTGTGTGTGTGTGTAGACATCTAGTAGGAAGGTTTCTCTAGAAGTGAGGACAGAGGGAGCTGTAGGGGAGCAGGGATAAAAGCCATCAGACCCCTGGATTTGAATCTTGGGCCAGGCTAGGGTTCCTTGATTTGGGAAGCTGAAGCAGGAAAGCTGTATTTTAACTCTTCAAATAGAATATGACTTTCGTCATCACCCCCTCCCAAAAGTCCCCTGCCTAGTCTCTGCTGTTTCCTAGACCTCCTCCCCACACTCTGGCAAGCCGCAGACTTCATATCCACATCCACCTTCCCTTGCTAGTCACCTCTACAGCCGTCCTGGGTTTTGATTTCCCTCTCAGGGTCCCCAGGGCTTCAGTTCTGTCTTTAGGGAGATGTTGACGCCAAATTCCTTCCCTTGGGATCACTTCCTTTTGGGAACACATGAAAGACTGTCTGGCCCCTGTTCCTCCAAGCCACACTCCGACGCATTTTTAGTTTAGTTTTGGGTTGTCTTATTTCCAAAGCAGGGGCAGCTTCTTCCCCATCCCAGGTTTTGTCCCATCTCATGTCTGTTTGGAGTAGAGCTGTTCTGTGCAGCCGCTGCACTTGGCTAAAAAATGTCAGGAATGTGGAACTTTATCCCCCCCCCCCCTTCCTTTCCAGCTTTCTCTTTCTTAACTCTGCTTCGGGTGCTAGAGGCCGTTTTCTTCTCCACAGTTCGGACTTTCTTAGGTGGAGTGTGGTTCTTCAGGGTGTGGGTGGCCAGTTGGGATGTGTGGATAAGTCAGATTTGAAAGGAGCCACCCCTCCCCTCCCCTTTGCTTCCAGTGCCCCGTGCCACGTTTCTAACCTGAAACAAGCAGGGAAAGAGGACAACTCTTTCATTAGTGACCGGAGAATGAGGAGTAGGGGCGCCTGGAGCAGAGGAAGCAATTTCTGTACCACCTTGAAACTGTCATCTCAAGACAGAAACTAGTTTCTTCTTCGGTTTCTGCAGCTGCAGGGGAAATGTTTCTGAGGTTCTAAGAACATTTGTCGGTTTCGTGTTTGGTGTTTGTATCGGCCGTGATGAAGATGGAAGGGTTTAGGATGCAAAGGAGTTTGGGAATGGTAGCTAGGTTGGGCTTTTAAACTTATTTCTGAGGCAGGTGTGGGAGGTGGTTCCTTTCTCCCAGGAACTGCTTTCTTCCCTGTTCCCGACCCCATGGCAGACTTGTCAGGAAGAAGTATCTGCAGTACATATAATGGAAGCCCATTGCAGGTGTCATAAGTGTTTGGACTGGGGCGGGGCGTGGGTCTGTGGCACCAGTTCATACTCATGGACGTACCTGTGGGTGTCACAGCCTGCAACCAGACAGGCAGTCCTGTCTCCTGATGCTAGGTGAAAAGAAACGTTATGCATTGTGAAAAGATTCTTCTCAGTTAATAGAAGCATGTTAGTGGCTCATAGGTACACCTGTGGATGTCAGGTCTGTTTTCTTTCCTTTTTTTTTTTTTTTCTAATTTCTAATGCACTTTTGGAGATGTTACTTTGTCAGTTTTTATAATTTCTGACTTTTGCCTCCAGTCCAGGAGCTTGAAACAGCAGTCTGCTAGGGATGCTCAAGGCCCCCAGGATTCTCTCATTCTCATGGGTGCCTTGCTTGGGTGAATTTCTGTATGTGGAACTCAGTGATTCGAGCAACAGACCAGAAGCTTGGTGTTTGAGCTTTTCTTGATCAGGATTCCAGTTTAACCCTCGCCTATGGGATGAAGGGGAATATTTATTTTTCTTCCCTTGGCAAAAGTGAAGGACGGTATTGGTCAGCTGGTGAAATTTTGACCTCAAGTACGAGATGAAGACTGATATGTTAAAGATCCCCCAGCACAGGGGTGCTTCCCCGATTCGTCCACAGTCACACGGGTCACCGTTGGCTCTCAGGGTCTGCTTTCTGCTCCTAGACCTCTCATTTAGGGCCCTGGCTCTGTGTCATTGTAGGAATGACGCATTTTGAGATAGATACCTTTCTCCTAAATTCTCCCATTCAAATGACTGTCCCTGGGTCCCCTAATTCCCCCTTTCCCAAAGGTTCCCTGGGCTGTGGCTGTGCCACACACAACACGTTTTTCCTCTCGGACATTTGTCTACTTAGAACACAGGGTGTGGATTCCAGGGGGTCTCGGTGCTGCCAGAGTCAGCTCTGGAGCAATCAAGACTACAAGGAAACCACCCTGGAAGCTAAAGAGGTGTCTCTTCTCTTGTCTCTGTCCTGTGAACCCCCAGTGGCTTCTTTCTCAGAGCCCCTATCCAGGCTGGTCACAGCAGAGCGACTCAGTCCCGACTGTTTGTGGAATAACATGTGTTGCTATGGTGAAAGCTTCCCTCTGGCCTGGCAGGCATGGCTTTTTTTTTTCTGTGCTTCGTTGTGGGCAGGGGCCCCAGAAAGCATCCTGTGGTATAGCTGATGTACCTCTCAATCCAAGCTCCTGATAAGGGATGAAGCCAGAGGTCTGATAAGAGTGGATTAGGATTCCCACACGGCAGAAACGCTTTCTAATGGGCCACTGTGCTATTAGCTAGCCTTGGT